AAATGACTGGACCTGGTCCATCAAATTCAATATTTTTCTATTCTTTCCAATTTACGGAAAAGTCACAAACAGTTTTATCGCGACCACCATGAGAAACCGAGACATGACATTCGCTTATTACATTGAAGAAAGATTCATAAATACAGACAGGCTTTTTTGTTTTTACACAACATGCAATATCAATACCCACTATTTTCAACAATAAAAAATTTTGTTTCGCCCAAAAAACAAATTTTGGAGAAAATGAACCAGATGTCTTACCTTTTTGTAATAATAATGCTTGCACAATATCCTCACAAACTTTCTTCTTTATGACACTTTTTTCTCGAAATTTAACACTTAATGAATCTATATATTTATCAAGATCACTATAAAACAGTTTTTCACTATCATTAGGTTGAATAGTTATTGTTGTCGTATTACACGCTGTCATTTTTTTTATATAGAACAAGTAACATGATCCTAATCGGTTCACACATTCTATTTATACTATTAGTACACAATGGTCAAATATACCTAGATTATTTTTTTCTCGAGTTATTCAGTTTACATTTGTACATGCATCAAGCACATGATCAGAAAAAACAAAGACAAGTACTTACAAGGACTTGTATTTTCTAACAATACACAGTCATACGTAGTAGTAGAAAAGAAGGGAGAAAAGGAAAAATAACGTACAAAAACACTATTCTAAGTAACGTGAACCCTACTATTTCGACAATCATGCCACCTTTACGCGATGAAGTGGATAAGTTCAGCAAAATGATTCATTACCCAACAGGAGAAACTAAGGGCATGAGTTTAGCATATATCATCAATTTCGTGACTTCGTTAGCTATGATCTCTGTTTTTTCCATTCTAATTCCAATTTTACCTAAATTCTAATTTTGGCTGACTTAGTCAAACTTAGAATTCTAATTTTGCCCAGTCAAACTTGGAATTCTAATTTTGCCTAGGCAAATTCGGAATTTGCCTGGATTCGAAATTTGCCTACAAGATATACATCGGACTTGATTTTCTTTTCTAATTGTTTCTACTTCTTCAAAACAGTTAACCGCCATGTATAAAAAGAATATTCATTTAACAAGATATCTATAACGTATTTCAGGCAAAAAGAGAACATCTCTTTTATAGTTCATTCTACTGTCATACTATTTGGGCCTTTTTAGGATACAACGCTTTTCTTAATATAAGGAAGAAACTATAGTATCAAGTGTTTTTTCTTTTTAAAGTAAGATTCAGTACTAGTAGTAGTAGTAGTAAGATTTTTTTAAGTAAAGATTTAGACAAAACGAACCTAAAGATCTAAAAGTTAGAGTGAAACAGAAGAACTTCAATTTAATAATATAGTACGCAGTGGACAACACTTTTTATTTGTAGTATCTTTGAATGTTTTAATGTTCTTCTAGTAATACTCTTATTAAATTTTGTCCTTGTTCGACTACATCTTTTATTTACTAATTCTTATATTGATTAGGAGCATGTCAAAATTTAAATTCTAATTTATGTTCTTTTATTTTGTATAATTCGGTATCGTTGATTGTATCGTTGATACATACATCGGCATATATATACTTCCAATGTGTTCGATTTTTTAACAGACATCTTCATAAGAGCAGACATTTTTCTGTTTAAAGAATAAAATCAGAAAGTAACAAATTTTATATTTTCATCAAAAATGTTCATCTTTTATGAAGC